ACGTTGGAAGCACTGTCTGACGCGTCTGCCTCCGCGACCCGAAAGGAGAAGCGGCGATGGAAGATGAATATGAAGTCTGCGGTACTTCTCAATGAAGCGTGGTCCGGATTTAAATGTTAATTCTCTTTCACTTTGCAAGTGCGAAGATTCGATTTGTGTGAATTGGAATTATTATATAGGTATTTGCCTTTTAAATGGGAAAAATGCATTTGAAATTGACATTGAAGTTTTGTGAGCTTTTGATCTGAGATTCTTACGAAATAGCAGTTGGCGTACTTAGGTTCATGTAGCAAAGAGATTTGCACATGCCCATCTTTAGATCGGGGTTGGTAGTCGAGGAGCTCGGTTCCAACCTACGCCTCCTAACGGACTGATTTTGCAGCAAATTTCTTTGGATGCTGAGAGAAGCCTTGCATTTTGAGTTATACTTCCTACGAGTTTGGGAAAACTAAAATTTGTTCGTTTCATCTGCGCTTGGCGTGATGTCGATTCGATAATTTTGCATTTGAAGGATCCATTAGCCGTTTGAATAAATTAAAAACAAGTTTGTACTATCCGCATAAACTTTAATTTGCAGTAGTTGGAACGCAAGATTACGGACAATTACGATTGCTGGATCTCATAATGTAATCGATTTCAGAGTTCATTCAGCTGCCGAAAACTTCTCCGACGAAGCCAATTAACATTGCAGTGAACTTTTAAAATGCTAGATCTGGATAAACTATGACCAACCACAGATTACCACACCAAGACGTTACCGACTAAATATCCATCTACGTGTAAAATTGAACGCCATATGTAAAATTATGCCCAACCTCAGCCTTACGTTCATCCCTTCAGCCATCCAAAAAAAACTAGTTAGCATCGAGAGATAGCAACCTATCACAGTAGCCACTATGATTAAGAACATAACGTCGTACCATCTCCTGTTTTTTGCAAGCAAGGCTAGCCCATACACTCCAAGCTTATTTTGAACAGTGACAGTGTGTGTGTAGCTACTCGAAGAATCTACCGCAAAACGTCAGCTGCATTGTCTTTCATGTGAACGGAGCTGGGAAACACGACCTGACCGCTATCAGCAGCTACCTACACGCATTTGGCTTACGATAACTATCGACGCTGACTGTTTCCCATGAGGAGCACGAAAGACGTTATTTGCTATTTCGTTGTATTGTTCAGAAAATTTGTAACAAGCGCTTACCGCTGCAACATCACAGTTTTGTGCCATTAACATATCATGACAGCCACGTGATGAAGTCGAAATGCATGTTTCTATTTCATCAGGCAGAAATGACAAGCGAATCATAAGAAACTGACAAATTATAACCACAAACGAAATCAAAAATAAAACAATGGTGCTTCATACAGATGAGTTAGCAAAGGGTAAATAATAGTTACGCAGGACTTTATAAACAACGACAACAGTAACAAATTATGCCAAGTATGCATATTCATCAGAATTCTCTGTGCGCTTTAGGTACTGCTTCTCGATTAGCTGTTCAATAACCTTTTTTATCAAATGAACTTCGGGCACGAAACGTGGCCTCGCTTGTTGTATGACCTAAAATAGTAAACATGAGACTGCTCTCCTTATCAATTCCACGCACAAGAATGATTTACGATAAATTCTTAGATTTAGAGACAGCGCGAACTTGCCTTACGGAGCACCTTCAGGTCCTGCTGGAAGTAACTGGTAACCGCATATTGAGGGCATCCTATTGGATTCCCTCTTTGCTCAGAGAACCGCTTAAAATTTTTATCTGTTGCAGGAATTGTACTCCAATCGCTAAACCAAAAAATTTCAGACTTTCTTCTGCCGTTTGGTTCCCACTTCAAACTGAATAGCAGGCCTATTATCTTCCATGCCTTCTCTTTTTTCCCAATAAACAAACGCGACCACATCAATTTGTATTAGGAACGAGAGGGTGCGCTAAAATTTATCAAATCGTATTCGAGGCGGAAAAAAATAATTAACAAAGTAAAGAAAAGGCTGATATAGCGAAATACGATAGGAACTGTTTCCTTCAACCATTACGGTAGAATCGAAATGGTTGAAATAACAAATGTTTAGTAAATTCTGGTCAAAAACGCAGCGGAAATCTTCTGATATTCAAGGCAGTGGTCATAACATCATCGTGAATGCGGCTTTTAAATGTTCAGTTGCCTTCAGATCTCCGAACGAAAGAATTAAAATAAAGCAGTTCATCGTTACCTCCTGAACAAGCTGGTTGTGCTTAAGAAGTTTGCTGGACTTCATAATTCGCACGACAGCGCATTCCAGAAAGTATTTTCGGTCCTGCTGTACGGTGTTGCCGACGTGTTCGCACTCCTGTACAGGAAATTAGAAAATCAACTGTTGTTTCCGGCAGCCTTACCGCTTCCTCGATCTGCTTCGGGATCACGGGAGCAACGATTCTGAACTTCGAACGCTTACTGCTGAAATTCATGTTCAGGGTAAAGAGACTGTGGCTGTCAATCGAACTGCCAGTCTGCAAACAGATATTGAAAAACAACGCACAGACTTCACTTGCATTGTCCGTACGTCGCATAGCAGGAGTTTGGTATCGACAAGACACCTCAGATGCCGCTCCAACGATTCGTCTGTCACCTGGGTTATTGTCTTGAAGTCCTCCATCGTCGCCGTATCACCGTCGTTGAAGTGCAGCAGGACAGACAACTGATAGAGCGTCACCGTTACCGTATAGGACCGGGGCAAGTAATTCAATTTCAAGTCAGCTAAAAACAAACGGGATAAACTTCGCTTCCAACCAACGCCTGCAGCAGTAAACATTATGGAACGAAAGACAAAGATATTTTGTATTGGTTGTTATGTCTGACTTTGTGACAGCGACATGGAGCAAAGACCGACTAGAGAACCAAATAATCACATTTCACGACAATATCAGCACGGTGTTCCTCTCAGCCTGTAGTGGTCACTACGCAAAACAAGCAGTAAAGCAGAGTCGTGCGGCTAACGAGCAGTAATCACGCTCCTACATACCTCATCGTGAGTTTGAGCTAATGTGCCGAAGAGAATAAGTCTGGATAGAAATTCAGATAGAATAATCGAAGGTCATCACTGCACGTCATTTGTATTTATATTTGGAGTGGAATAAAAAACTGCACAATATCGTCTGTCCCTCGGAGACAGAACGATTTTTGGATCAGAATGACATTTTCAGAGACACTGATGCTAAAAGCCAAACCAGTCGTCACTAGGAGTAAAATGCAAGACAATTCATGGCACTATGAAAGGGTCAGAATCAGTATAACGTTTTACAGACACGAGAACCAGACAAGTGCTAACAGCAGTAAGACGTAGAGGAGAAAGCGTACGCGAATGAACCTTTCCCTGCGAAACCAACAGATTTTAGACATCCGGCTTACCTGCGAGCAACTTTTTGCAGCTAACAGATTTCGATCAGTCGGTCAGCTCATCTGACCTAATGCTGTCTAGCTAATTTTCTACTATTATGCACATGCATGATAACTGTCCCGAAAACTTCGTGCGAAAATTGTCTTTAGTTATGCCAGCTCTTCTTCGACTCGGTAAATACGTTCATACCGAATAACCGATTATTGTGCACCTCGAATTAGAAACAATCTTTATTTTCGACCACTTGTTAACCTGCCCTTGTACGTTTTGCTATGGTTTAAATCGGAGGCTTTAAATCAAGTGAATAAAACATTTCATGAAGAAAAAACTCTGAAGGAAATTAAGGACTTCAAAAGTGAGAAATGATGAAAAAACTGAAGAATTAGGCACTAAAACACAAGCTGCAACTGTTTCATAATCCGATTACGGGATGAACCCTAACCAGTTTTCACTGTGATGGCGACCGACTCCACGCAATCGACCATCAACTTCTGCGGCAACATGTAGAGAACGGCCAAAAATGAGAAAAGGAAGGTACGCAACCGTTGGATGGCGGTCTTCTTTACACTTTCATGACTACAGGCCACTTGTGACGCCATTCTTTTAATGAAGTCTATGGTGTAGCACTGACCTTTATATCCCGAAGGCAAGGCGTGCCTTAGTTTAAAGGCATAGTCTGCAGTTATGTGGCAAGTGTAACACAGCCTCCTGTCTGCAGTTCTCATTTATCAACCTCGGAAAGAAAAAAGATGACACCGGACAAGGGATTAAACCTTTGGCCTCTCGATTCTGGGTTCAACTCTCTGCAGATTGAACGGCACCGGTCAAACAAATCGGGCAAAGATTGTCGAAAACTGCAGGTCAAATCAAAGCATGGTGAATCGCATATTTTCCTAGGCGATGAAGTAATGTCGTGAAGCTTGCAACTATCGACCAATGAGGTCATGATAGTCAAGAGTGGATAGACATTCTGTCTTAAAGCATATATACCCAACAGCAGAATACCTCGACTGCAGAGTTATTGATCTTGTACAATTGGGCTGACAGAATTATTTAACAATCCCCAAGCTAGCCGCATACCACGAACCTGTTGACAGATTGTAGAGCCAGGTGATTTTGCGGCCGCTAAAGCTCTCGCTGTAGAAAGCGCTGAACTAAATAAACTGCGTTAGGAATAAATGCGTTGACAACGTCAAGTGCAACCAGACCAGCTTACCATATTCACGGATGGCTGCAGTTCACGAGGTAAGGCATAAACGAGATTCGTGGGTGCGGACAGCGGCCAAGCACCGGCCTGTAAACAAAGAGAACATGAACGCGAGGCAGGGACGCCCACATAAAGCAAAGACAAAACCAACCTGAAGCACCAGCACCTGGAAGCCAACATCCAAAGTTTCGTTTTTATCCTCTAACATATTCAAAAAACGCCCGGTCAACTCTTTACTGACACCAACATCGGTGAACATTCGTTGGAATTTGCTTGTAAATTCATAGCCACAGACGTGCTAGAAATCGAATGCTACATTTTCGCAGAGATTACGTCAGATTGCAGTGTGAGAGAATTACCTTCAGCTTTCCGATCATCGATTCCTCAGCGTACATACTGACCGACAACGAGTGAATAAGTCGTTGAGCGAGCATCCTTGAGTAAAACTAAAATCAAGCGTTCACTGTAACAAGCGCTGGGATTCTTGAAAATGCCTCAGAACCGTTCTTCAATACTTATTACTTGAACTACGGCAATATTACTACTGTTTTCATTAACGGTAACTCTGAAGACGGGCCGAGTATATTTTGAAACGTTAGTACCTTTACAGAATGTTCATAATTAAACATTTTATGCGGTTATCTCCTATTTGTGACTTTCCGAAAAATACTATTTTCATCAATGCCCTACTTATAATTGAAAACAACTTAAGGCACATTCTTCAGCATTGGAAATGTAGGTACTGACGCATTCAGAGGAATCTTCTCCAAAACGCAAGCGGCAAAGGAGGAAACACGATCAAGAATGGTTCACTGGATCGGTGAACTAAAGGTAGCAAGCAAAAGTATTTTGTGCAGCATCGCAAACAAGTTGAATTTCGAGAGCAATCCATTAAGACACAATTCAAAAAAATGCTGTGGGGAAAGCGACAAGAATTCAGGATCAATACCTGAGGAAGCTCTATGGGTAAATAGCCTACGTTTTCATCTACGCTGCGAAGGGCTGATAGTACTCAGAAAAACCTATTCGCAGCTGCAGTATGATTCTAATCAGTCATGAAACTTAAAACAAGATAAAACCGAAACACAGAAGAAAAGTGAAGAAAAACGAAGGCGAAGGATAAAGAGAAGTTAAAGGAGAAGAGAAAAAGGCCCATGGAGACGTGGAAAATGTCGTGTGTCGAAAATTCATGTCTTATTGCACTTCAACAGCATTTAATAAGTTCACAACTATCCTGCAGCATCGATAAATCTACGTGCTACGAAAAATTGCATTGGAGGTAGCGCTTACCTTCTGAAAAACGTCTTTATCTTCTATGTAACGGAAGACGACGATGGCATATGCCAGCTAGAAAATGGTAATGTTACCAGAGAACAACGACAAATCCATTTTCTCACTTTATCTTCGATTTCACTCTCCGAAAGACCTTTCGTAGTCTTCCGCAGTAACTGATCGACGTGCTTCGCCAACTAAACAGAACACGGTAAACTGCATAGTGTCAAATAAATAATAATTTCCTCGATAATTTAATACATTCAAGCAATATAATCAAAGGTATCTCCAGGATTGAACTGCTTCTTCAAGCATACGCAACGCAAGTAATAATCAGTAATAACAAACAAAATGGAAGTACGAAAAATGAAGTGATCATAAAAATCAAAGTAACGATGACAACAGACTGAGGGCGAAAATTCTGAAAACACAAGTTACATGATACAGAGAAAGGTGACTCAGAAGAAACAGAATAACTCAGGATGAGAGAAAAACGCTCAAGTGAGAGAAAATTTGAAAATATTATCGATAATTTGTCTACTTGATACAATATTGGAGAGCGCAAAACCGCTTCGATGAGTCGTCCCTTCAAACTGAATGAAGCTAAAAGGGCGAGAAAAGAAACAATATAATATTAATATCACAAAACAAATTAAGGGTTTGCTTGCCGATAATGTTAACTAAAATGCCAATTAACATACATGTTCCTGTTAGTACATGGAACACTGATAAATGAGAGATCACTGACAGAAAGCAACGCATTGCTTCAATCAATAGAATGATGCGAGATCTATTTATGCACTGGATTTGTTCAAATACCATAGAACTGTAACCTACTCAAATGATATGCTGTAACCTCGGCATCAAAGAACACGGAGGCAGTGCCACAGCGTCGGGAAAACAGGTTTGGTAGTTATGCGATAATTAATCGAAAACCACCTCATATACGCATTGGTTTCTGCACATATCAAACACGCAGGGCAAAAAATAATGACAAGAAACACAGATGTGCAACTCTTTGTGACATTTAACATGGTCATGTGGTGTTTAATATATGCATATAATTTACAATAAAAACTTTTCCGGTTTCGACGGCGCTACCGTTTTGCCCTAAGGTTCCTGAAGGTTTGTATGCAGAAGGCGTTTATGCAGGATCACGTTTCAGGATGGTGCAATGCGTGCACTGAATGAACCGACATAAACAATCAGAGCAGAAATTTTACAGTTACATACGACTGATGCCGCAATGCTCTGAAACTGCGGGCTTTCGAAAAGATGGTAACATTTAAGCAATTCTGGAAGAAACAGTACCTCTGACTCTACATATCTACAGCACAATATGGACAGCTGCTGGACGAAAAAATCTTTGCCAAAAAATTCATTTCGTACTAATTCTTCTGTTATCATCCAATAGTCAACTAGTAGATAAGCTAATATTGGGAATACGGCGTAATGACTGATTTCATGTTTGCCACAAGAGAATTGAAGTTTCTCATGAAAAGGCGAAAGATCATGAAAAAACTTCCCCACAATCATTGAAAATTTACCTGTGAAGCATAGTACCGCGTTTATACATACGCACAAAGGGAAAGTCAGTCAGTCAGACATCAACAGAATCAGAAGCGTACTGGTCAGTTAACTTCTTCAGAAATTCAGGATGTAAATAGGTAGATGAAACCGAAGTTGCAAACTTCGAGAATACGTGCAACTGATCAGGTTTCAATGGCAAATAAAGAAAATTAAGCTGGTAGTGGCGCGAAAACGCAAATATCATGGTTTCATTGCAGTAAAAATGAGAGCGAAGGAGATTACCCATTCAGCAGCTTTCGGAATGCCGCTTCCTTGTTCTCTGTAGTTAATGATCGACAGGCAGGCCTGAAAAAAAATCAAACACTCATTTCAGCAGTCAACATTCACGTTTCAACTGTCCATTCTGAACAGTACCCTGTCAAGTGCATTCCAAAACTCGGCGTCGTTGCGGAACAGGGAACGAACGAATTCGCTGAACCTGTGAAAAATGTCCAGCGTGCTTTCGACAAAGTATTGCGGTAACTAGAAAATAACGGCGGGTCGATGAATGTGATCGTCAGGCGACCAGCCGTCGTGTGCATAACTTATAACTTACGTTGCTGTCGGTCATGTTCTTCATGCACTGCAGCCCGATCGATTTGATGTGGTTTTCAAATTCCCTTGTCAACAGCGCCAGCCCCTTCGGAATCGGCTTTAGCAACGAGTAAAGATTACATAGGTCTAAAGCGAGAATGTTACCTCTTACAAACATCGCACGCAGCGGCAGCATTACTAGGTTCACTTTTTTTCAACGTCACAAAGTCAACTGACATCAGCGTCAATGTCACGAAGAGTAGAAAACGACCAGTCAATGCACTGGGACTAGCTGCCATGGAAACGTCCACCAAGACTTATCATGAATCTTGAAACTATTGACCTGAGAGCTAATGGTAGTCAGAGAATGATAGATTTCCTCATGGCATTGAGAAAAACGGTATATAGATACCAAACTAGGAAACAACCCGCTTTAATCCCCGCTCTAAGCACAGTGATGCCACTGAGTTATGTCCTGTATCTTCTGAACAGAAGATGACGACAATTCT